GAATGTGGATATAGCTTATATGCTTATCTGTGGATATTGTTGTTATACATATCTGTTGAGAATGTGGATATAGCTTATATGCTTATCTGTGAATGTGGGTTATAGATTATATATATATACATATTTCATTCATTCATTGCAAGGAAATGATCATTGTGTTGTTTTTGCTATTTTTATTTTTATTTTTTTAATTTTTAACCGATACTTTTCTGAATTATCTAATTGAGTAAAACCTAAAAATTCTAATTTTTTTTTTAAATCGTAAACAAATAATTCATTAAAAACATTATAAAAAAAAGTAAACCAAAAAAAAAAAAAAAAACCTCAAATGTTCAACACCTATTTCAATTGCCATACAAAGGTAACTATTTTATAAAAAAAAATTAATTCAATGTTGATGGGGTTAATTGAAAATAAAATTACAAAACAAAACTTCAATCCTAATTAATTTTGTGCTTTATATAATAAAATACATAAACATCCAAAAATGTTAAATCTATTAACATTGGAGTTTCTTGCTTGGATTTGGGTGCATCTAAATATCTATAAAGTAATGATATATAAATAATATGTATATATATATAATTTTAATTTTCACACATAATAATGTGATTTATTATAAATTTGTTATATCAAAATAAAACATAATTAAAAATAAATTTATTTATAATAATGATATTTTCATATTATTATTGCCAAATTTTTTATATAAATTTTATAAAAGAATAGAAATTTTCATATATATTAATTTGTAAGACTTTGTGTTTTCAATTTGTTTAGATATTCTGTTTGTGTTTTCAATTGAATTTTTTTTTGAATATTTTGTTACGTTTTCAATTTGGAAATGCTTTTATCAAATGACAAGGGTTGATATTGGTATTATTGTGTGAAAAATATATGGCTTAATTTTGTCATTTAAAAAAAAATCAAATTAAATAGTTTTTGAATAAAAAAAAGTAATGAAATAGTTTTGATAATGCATGATTTTCTTATATGTATTTATTATTGGTATTTGAGAATTTACTTGATAATCTTTTAGTTATATTGAGTTGAATTATTATAAAAAAAAAAAATGTTAACAAATTGTTGTATTATATTCAAAATTTATAAAAGTTTAAACCGTCAAACTGATTCGCATCTATCCGTCAATCCGCATTCGTCAATTCGACGGACGAATGCAAATTGATTTTTTCCAATCCACCCATCCGACGGATGGATGGCAGATTAGAGGTTGCCGCAACCAAACTGAGAACACCCCTACCCTCTAAGGAGAAAACATATAATTAAATAAGGACAAAGTAATTTTTATTTATTTATTTTTTTCATTTCTTAGATAATATTGCTAGAGTAACATGTTACTGTTTACATCAATTTTAACAGTAATAATATATGTATATATTTTTTTAAGAATTTCATAGTCAACATAGATCTTATTTGATAAATCTTGATGAAAGAATTCTAAAAATATTAATTTTATTAAAAACCGACATATACATCAAAACTTATATTATTTTAAAATTTAATATTTTGATAATAGTAATATTTATTGGGCTTGTTAAGGAAAACATTTTGTACTTGTCTTTAATACATTAAAATTTATTATGAGGAAATTTTGACCAAATCTCTCAGAAATGAATAATGTTATATGCACTAATTAGTGTACTAACTAGTATATTAATTGATAATACGGAATAATTTAAGATGCTTTTGGTATTTTTAATTAATATAATGAGTGAGATTAATAATAATGTCGTAACTAATATTAATACACTAATTAATATACTAATTAATACATTTAGGTGTATCAAAAAAGTCAAAAAGTTACAAAAAAAAAGTAAAAAAAATTATCACTATTCACAAATTAAAAATATTAAAAAATTAATATACATAATATTTTAATCAAACAAAATTTACACAATTTTCGGGGCTAAATTGACCCTGTACTACCGTCAGAGGGGAAAAAAAAGAATTACATATATAAAATCACTAAGTTTGACAGAAATGTTGGGCCTGTGGGAGTCCACCACGGGTCCTGTTTTGATAATCTGAATCGTTCAATATGTAAAACTCGTCCAGAACTATATGCCTATAAAAAATCACGTTGATCGGAAATCAGTAACTACATGATCAAATCAATTTTGTATAAAAAATGGATGATATTATTGTTAACAGTTGACAAGAAAAATTAACACGATCAGATAGCTATTGATATCTAATCAACGTGATTTTGTACAAATATATGATACCCGACGAATTCTACATATTGAACGGTTCTAATTAGTAAAACGAGACTCGTGGTGGACCCCCATGAGCCGAACAACACCGTCCAATTTATGCCCGAAAATGAGAGAATCAATCTCCTACACTATACCCTCTACCGCGCTGGCCCATGCGTGTACTACTGTACGGGCTATTCCATCTATAACTTTCCGTATACATTTATTTATACAATTTTTTATACATATTTGTTCATAAAAAGTCAAAAAATTAGCCTAAACATCCATATTTTTTCCCTCAACTTTTTAGTCTAAAAAGACAAAAAGTACACTTATTTAAAACATTTCAAACAACCCCTAAATTAGAGCGAATTCCTATCAAGTTACACTTCATTTCAAAACCATTCTCCATTTGAAGTGATTGGCATCTTTATTGTAAATCTTAACAAATTAACAGACTAGTTTTTCTATAACAATGGTAATGATGTTCAACTTTTCCTATTTGGCTATTCCAGACATATGTAACAGATATAGAATCACATATAGGAGCGCATTCGAGGCCTTACTATAGATTGTGCCCCATCAACAAATATGGTGGTTCCTGTCATGTAACGCGAGCCATCACTAATTAAGTAGATGACAGTCGAGGCCAAATCTTTTTTAACATCGAGCCACCTATGGAGTGGGGCTGCTTCCATGACCAACTTCTCTGCCCCCTCTTTTCCCACTGACAATGGAAATTCATCGTGTAGGTGCAAGCCACGGGCAATTGCATTAACCCTGATTTGGTGTTTCCCAATCTCCATAGCAGATGTCTGAGAACATATATTGATCAGAGATGTGAATAACACAAAACTCAGGAAAAAGATCATACACAAAATTAGCATTCAGCTCTCTAATGTGTTGTTATCAGACTATTACATATGCATACCCTCATCATAGTTATAATTTTTATCCTACTTTCACTCGTTTATTCATTACATCATTTTTAAGGTAGTGCCCTCAATCGCATAGCAGTTGATTAGCCACTTGATTTCCATTCCCCTACATATTATCCAATCTATTTATGGATCCGCTACACTATCTTTCTTGTTCTTAGAAGTAGTCATGACCAAGTTCTTGTATTGTAATTTGTATCATTGTAGCCATATCATCTGATCAAATATTTGAATTCAAATTCATAGATATATAATACCAATACCTTCCAACAAAATTCAATAAAAGTCAACAGCTCCTTTTCTCAAAAAGGAGTCAACATTTAAAACTCCGCCACCAATTACTCTCATGATATGGTGGGAAATAATAAGCAAATGTTTTCTACTCAACTTCGCTGATCCAACAAATGATCTAATTGAACACCTTCATAACCAAAAGACAATAGTCTGTTGTTAAGTCATAACCCTTTTAAGCATAACAAGAAAATAAACATCACATTTTTCCAAATTAAAGTATATTAACACGCATATCCTAAAACTTCAAGATTTTCCAGAGGATTCATGTTAGTTTATACCCAAAATTTGCTTCCTTTATGCAATGTGCTAGCGTGCATGAACTTCAGACAAAGATTGTACAGGCAAAACATTTAAAAAACATAAATGGAAGTTGACTTACCCTAACTAACTGCTGTATTCCTGCCAAACATGAACCATATGCCGCAGCTCCTTGATATATGCCTCTCTCGGCTCCAATTAATGTGGTCAAAAACACAATGGAACCTCCTGATTTGCAATCGCGCATTCGTTTGCCAACAGCCTTCAACAAATACCACGCAGCCATGAAATTTATTTTAACTATCTTTTTGAACTCATCTTCAGCCAACTGCAAAGGGTCTTGCATCTTTCCTGTTTCAAATAAACAAAAGCAACATACCTGCTTACTTCCATCCATACTACATCCTCAGCAAGAATGCAAACAAACATCAAGAAACTAAAAAGTGAACGAGTGAAAGAAACAAATGTTCAAGGGAAATCGTTTGTATTTGTTTTTATCTTCTCTGATTTCACTTCCATGGGCTTTGCAGCAGTATTATTTGTACTGTTATGTTATCCAAGTTTTCATCAACATAGCAACCAATTCTCTCCCTCGGGCCAAATTATTGCCAATTTGTTGTACTTACTTTGTCTTGGTTAAGTTACAAGGTGCCATAATAAAAATTTCAAAGATCATATAATGGAAAAATAAGGTATTTTTTAGATTTCACGAATCTGATTGCATCTTCACACTCCAGTCTCCAGATCATTTTAAGAAATAAACATTGCTGACATGATCAATAATTGAAATTCAAATACATCAATTTTCCATAGCGACCAGCCAAGAGATGATTCATAACATTCACCACAATTTGGCAGGACAGAAATTCACAAACCAGAGTTAAATGATAAAATAAAAAAAAAAACATACTGTATTGAGATTGCTAGATGGCACAGTATTGACCAACCTCCTTGATAGTGCTCATCTCCTACTTTTAATTGTCATGACATCAATAAGATGTGTGAAATTATATTTACATTTCACTTATTTATTCCTTTTTTTTCTTTTTCAATTTCTTCCCCAAATTCAATGAATTAGACCTATACTTCAATAGTTCCTTTGGTTTAAGTTTTTAAAAATTGATTCCAATATCACATTTCAAAACTCATTTCAGATCATGGTTGGAGGGCAGATAATTTTTTGAATTTTGAGTCTACTTGGCCATCCTCCCGGACGTCTGGCAAGTTGACTGGAACAGTACTTCTTTTTATTTTATTTTTACAATTGCAAATCGTCACCTGTTATTTGGAAAAAAAATTATATTTGTTTTTTATATTTTTTAAATATATAAATTATTTTTTTGAATTGAATTTTAAAAAGAATTTGGTTATAAGTTTTGAATAGAATTTTCAATAGAGTTTTGAATTGTATGTTTGATTATGAATTATAAGTTTTTCAATTGAGTTTTGAAATTCATAACTAAATAAATTTTCTCATTTCATATATCACATTAAAAATTCAAAACTCATAATTAAACAAATTATCTCTTTTCAAATTATAATTTCACAACTCACAAATTTAAAATATATCTCTATTATTAAATTATAATTCTAAAAATCTACCACATATTACCTTCTAAAAAAGGGCACCAAGTAATGGTTAAAAGTCAAATCTAGGACTGACCAATTAGCCATTTGGGCTCTGCATCAAAGAATGATTGTTGATCAGTTTGTGGAGTAACCACTCCTAAAAGTTGGAACTGTCATTGGATAACAAGCTGACCGCTTTTGTAGCCATAAAGGGAAATTTCAATGTGCACACCCCTTCCTCTCCCCAAAAAAAAATAAAAAATAAAAAATAAAAATGCACACCCTTAAAACAAATGTATTATATACCTTTTGAATTATGTCATTATTTTATTTAGTTACAATTAATTTTTTTTAATTATAACTTATGAAATTTTTAATCATACATCATATTATATTTAATTATAATATTTTATTTTTTTATTTTTAATTAACACAAAAAATATAAAATTATATTATTATTTTTTTAATTTAATTATAAGATATACATAAGACAATTTTTGTGTACCACAGTGCCTCCCTTTCCTCGATACAAAAATTGATAAAAAAAATAATAATAAACACTCATTATTTTATATAATTTTTTCTTTTGAGAAAAAGTAATTTAAAAAAAAATTTAAAATATCCAAAACAAATCAAAATATTCAAATGGTTGAGCAGATCTAGAAATTTACATACATGTAATTGTTATTATTATTATATTATATTATATTTTGTGAGAATATATACCACAGATTTACCATTCTGAGAGGTTCAAGACCAAGTGATTCATGAAACTCTCATGTAAGTCCTGCTCGTTTGCCAAGACATTTCCAACTACTCTTCCATTCTTGGCAGAAAATTCTCAGCTCTTCCTTTGAAATTTGAATCCAACATTATTTGATAAACTATGGGGTTTTTGGAAATAAAATAAAAAGTTAATTTTTAGCTTTTTATCCATTTTGATCACATTATCTCTCATATTTTTTATTCATAAAAAACAAAATAGACTAAAAAAAGTTAAAAAATTAATCTTTTTATCAATTTCCCAAAACACTCTTATGTTTCACTCAACTAATTTTATCATTTTTTTTTTTCTTTTTCACGACCAACGCATATGTGCAAGTAACACTAAAATAATCTGACTTGTCATTATATTATTATTATTATTATTATTATTATTTTAATATGATGAATCTGTAAATTAACGTAGTAATTTTTTTAAAAAACAATCAATAAAATTCATTCGGTACTCGATTGAAAATTCAGATTGGTTGGAAGAAACAGACACTTTAAATGTTACCTTCGTAAGCATAACAATGGACAATAGCGTCCAAATTCCCCAGAATCTGGCGGGCCTTATCCACCGCTTCATCGAACACCGACTCTTTCTCCTCTTCCATATCCAATCCAACTACTTCCACCGCATCCACACCGTTCGAAGAGGCGCTTATCTTCTCAGCAGCACTCCTAAGACTGCACTCATTCCCCATCAGAACCAACCTAATCGCACAGAGCCAGACAGAGAGAGAGAGAGAGAGAGAGATAATTAGATTGATAGATACATACATATATATATACAGAGAGAGAGAGAGAGAGAGATGAGACCTGCAACCGCGTTTAGCTAAATGGTGAGCAATGTTGAGAGAAATTTCATCCCCATTGGAAGTGAGCAACACCTTCTTTCCATGATTTTCCATTGTTGAAATTAAATGAAACCGAGACTAACCACAGCAATCGAGAGAGAGAGAATATATATAGGCGGATATACGATAAAAAGGAGAGGTGGAAACGTGACGGGAGGGTTTGCACTGTTCCAATTTGGTTAAGATTTTTATTTTTTATTTATAAAAATAAAAGTATATGAAAAATAAATAAAAAATTATGGGCATAGAATCATAGATCTCAAATAATTTATTAAATATTTTTACGAAATTTTTCACATAATATAAAACCATACAAAATATGGATCTCACATTCATTATGAGGTGTTTAATAAAAAATTTAATAAATTATTTAAAATTTCAAATATAAGACACAAAAGAAATTGATTACAAATGGACTCGTGACATGTTTGAAAAAACAATAATGATACAGACCACTAAAACATCACCATTAATGATGTGGCAAGTCAAAAAAAAAATAAAAACAAAAAACTAAGACAAAAAACACATGTGGCAGTAGGTGGGACCCACTGCCACATCCCTAGTGCAACCACTAATTAGTGGTCTGGATCATTTTTCTTAAAAAAAACCCCGATTTAATATTCCTTTCATTTCAAAATATTAGGGGTTGTTTAAGGTGTCTTAAATAAGTGTATTTTTCATTTTTTTGGATTAAAAAATTGAGGAAAAAAATATAGATGTTTGGGTTAACTTTTTGATTTTTTATGGAAAATTGTGTATTAAAAAATTGTATAAATTAGTGTATAGGAGAAAATTAGGATTGGGAGTTGTGCAGTCGTAATTTTTGAATTTGGGTGAATAGTGATAACTTTTTAACTTTTTGAATAATTTTTAGACTTTTTAACTTTTTTGCAATGTGCCAAACTTGTCCTTAGTCTCTTATATTTTTCATTATCTCCCGAGTTTGTTGGCCCCCTCCCCTCCCCTCCCCTCCTCCTCCTTCTTCCTCCTCCCCGCGTCTTCTTCTTCCTTCTGCTGAAAAAAAATAAAATAAAAAAATAAAAAGATCAAAACGACGTCGTTTTGATCTTTCGACCCATTCGACCCACGAATTTTCGAGTTACCAACCGGGGTTGCTAAAAATATTAGGGGTTGTTTGAGGTGTCCTAAATAAGTGTACTTTTTGTTTTTTTAGACTAAAAAATTGAGGAAAAAAATATGGATGTTTGGGTTAACTTTTTAGTTTTTTATGGAAAATTGTGTATTAAAAAATTGTATAAATTAGTGTATAGGAGAAAATTAGAATTGAGAGTTGTGCAGCCATAATTTTTGATTTTTTGGTGAATAGTGATAACTTTTTAATTTTTTGAGTAATTTTTTGACTTTTTAACTTTTTTGCAATATGCCAAACTTGTCCTTAGTCTCTTATATTTTTCATTATCTCAAAATATTAGTCCCTCTTCAAAAATCAAGTTAAAAAATAATATAAATTTTCTATTTTGCCATTCTTTTAAATTAATAAATAATATAAAAAGTACAATTATGACATTAATATTCTCAAAAATTATTATCAAAAGGGTAATTTTGGAAAATCAATTTTTTTTAAAGTGCAATAATTATACTATCAAAAAAAGTTAAATTTCCCAAAAAGACCATTATTTTGGTACAGAGGGAGTAATAAACATTTAAATAAACGAATAGAAGTGATTGGTGAATTTTTGTACAAATAATATTAGGGATCATGAAAGAAATATTATGAAATGTTTCATAAAGATTTTTCATCTCTTGATTAGTGTGTGGTGTTTTCTTTCATGTGTAATCTAACGATAGAAAATCTTTCATGATCAATTTCATGATATTTTTTTCATGATACGTAGCATTACTCTTATAGATTTGTAATTATCTGAAAATAAATATAAAAAAAAGGAAGAAGAATTATATAAGGTAAAAGGGGACTTACGTGGAGGTCCTAATAAGTGGAGGCTTTACTTATTGTAAAATACAAATATATTATTTGATATTTGTTTAAATTATAGATTTTTTTTTTGTAGATTTAAAAATTACAAATCCCTTTCTTATTAGAAATTTTTATTTAATAGAATTAATATAAAAAAATTTAAATTTCTAACTAATGTTTCATATAACAATAAAATAATTTGAATTATCAATTAAAATATATTTATTATTTCATTAAAAATTATTAATTAACTAACAGTTGACCCATGTAATGTACGTGCTATTTTTTTTTTCAAAATATTTGATGGTACGATGTGTGTGTTATAAAAAAATAATTTAAATTTAATAATTAAAATATGGTTTTACATTATTATATTTCGAGTAATATTGACGCCATCGTTCTATAAAATTATATATATATATTAATTTTTGTTAAATTATTTATGTATTTAATAATTTTAGTTTATCATATTATAAAAGTATATATTTATTATATAATATTTATATATATATATTAAATTATAAAATAATAAAACAAAATTCATTTTGATATTAAAAATAATAGTTAAATTAGAATAATAATTAGTAACATAAAATTAAAAGTAATTTCTAACTATTTAATTTTTTTTATATTCATTTGGAAAATAAAAATATGTAGAAATAAAAATTATATAAATTTATTAAAAAAATTAAATATAAATATGTTGTAGTTGAATTATTATATAATGATTTTTATATGATATATATATATATATATTAAATTATAAGATTGTAAAATAAACCCTCTTAATTAAGTTAAAATATCAATTATGTAAAATAAAAAAAAATTAACAACAACTAACCAAGAAATAATCACATAATAACATCTAAACCCAAAAAGAAAAAATAGTAAAAACATCCAAACGATAAACATATCTCAGTGTGTACAGTGATTAATAATCTATAATATGATATCAAAACATAAAAGAACTTAGTGTTTAACAATTCAAAAAATAACTCAAGTAGTAAATCCAAACTTTAGAAGTTTCTCGAGGGTATCATTATTGTACAGGTTTTTCCTCCTGTAAGTTGTGATAATATGAAATAATGTAAGAAACGAAGTATAATTTTATATATAGAATCACTATAAAATTTAAACGACAAATCAATAACATAGAATAACATAGAATTGGTATTGGGTATTGAATAATGCACCAAAAAATAAGAAGAAAAAAAACAAAAAGGCAATTTAGTATTAAAAAAAAATTTAATACCCTTGAAAGAATTAAGAAGAAAGACGTGGAACGCAAAATTGGTATTGGGTTTGTGGATTATGAAAAATATATGGAAAATAAACATTTGTCAAATAGAGTCCAGGTAAAGTCAGTATAATTAAATTAGGTTTGTTTTTGTGTGGAACTCTATCTAATTAAGAAAATATATACTGATGTAGCTCTCTTAGCCTTCATTTGACATAAGCTAAAATGGAGTTTTTTGGCTAAAATCGTCACAAAAAGACAAAATAATTTTTTTAGCCTAATAAGGTAAAATGTCATATTCAAATCATAATCATTTCATTTTTTCTCTCATAAAAGTCAAAAAGTTTATCCCAAATCAAGCTTTTTAACTCCAAATTAAAAAAACCAAAAAATTAAAAAGCCAACTTACATTCCAAACGAATCCTTAGAAAAAAATAAATGGCCACCTAAGTATGAAAAAAAACACTACTTTTAATATACATATATATATATATATATGATATAATAATATATGTTATTTGTTAGATTATTAAAAATTTGAAAAAATAAACATAATTTTCAGAAGTATAAAAATTAATTTGTATTTTAAATAAAGGGTATTTACTAATAAATCAAATCTAATAAATAAGTACTCAAATTTAGTTCTAAATTTTCAAAGTTTCATTCCGTGTGATCTTATTTTTTATTTTTATTTTGGTAGATGATTATACCATTTTATTAATATAATATGTATGATGTGACACTCTAATGTGACAGATATGATGTAAGATTTCAAAAAAATTAAAAACTCCTTAGTATATTTTTTTTAAATGTGATATGTGGCACTCTAAAAAAATTAAAAACTCTTTAATGTATTTTTTACAAATGTAACATATAACACTCCAACGTAACAGGTATGATGTGTCATTCAAAAAAAACTAAAAAACTCCGTAATGTATTTCGGTAGTGCTAGAGGCCTTGAATTCGCCTTGAAATCTTTTTTTTTTTTTTTTGGGGGGGTGGTGGGGCTGTGTTAGTTTTTTTTTTTTTTGGTTTTTTTTAAAGGTGGTTATGTGTAGGGATGCGTCAAAAAATTAGACATCTCATACAAACTCATCGTACAAAATTAAATGAAATTAACAAAATTTAACCAACAACCTAACTGATCAGTCAATTTTATCACTCAATCAGTCCAACCTAATTGATTGATCAATTAGGCTGCTGGTTAAAATTTATTAACTCTATATAATTTTGTACGATGAGTTGGTGTGAGATGTCTAGTTTTTTTAGCATACCCTACACATAACCATCTTAAAAAAAAAAAAAAAAAAAAAAAAAAAAACCCAACACAACTCAACAAATAAAATTAAATTAAATTAAAAAAAAAAAAACTAACTAACATAGCCCAACAAATAGAAGGGAAAAAAAAAAAAAAAACCCTCAGCCTATGTGGTTTGCTAAGGTAAGTGAGTTAGGTTGGACTGATTGGGTGATAAAATTGACTGATTAGTTAGGCAACTAGTTAAAATTTGTTAATTCCATATAATTTTGTACGAATTCCTACTATATTTTTATTTCAAATTAGGAATATTCCGAAGAAATTGAAATGACTTTGATCTCAATTTCCTTCTAGTTTTCCTGATTTGAAATAAAAATATAATATAGACTCGTACAAAATTTTATGAAATTAACAAATTTTAACTAGTAGTCTAACTGATCAGTCAATTTTATTACCCAATTAGTCCAACTCAACTCACTCACCTTATCAAACTACACAGACTGAGTTGATGCAGAATGTCTAATTTTTTAGCACACCTTTACACATAACCACCCTTGCAAAAAGAAAAGAAAAGAAAAGAAAGAGAAAAAAAAAACAAACCAACACAGTCTTGAAAAAAAAAAAAAAAAAAAATTGAAATTCGAGGACTCAAGCATTATTCATTTTTTTTTTTTTCTAAATATGACAACGTGATAGGTATGATGTAACAGCTAAAAATTCCTTAGTATACTTCTTTCAAATGTGACGATGTGATGAGTATGATATGACACTCCAAAAAAAATTAAATTTTTTTTAGTGTATTTTTTCTGAATGTGATGACGTGGCGAGTATGATGTAATAACTAAAAACTTCTTTGTGTATTTTTTTAAAATGTGAAAATGTCGTGGGTATAGTGTAATACTCTAAAAACAATTATAAACATTTTCGTGTATATTTTACGAATATAACATGGGACGCTTCAACGTGGCGGATATGATGTAACATTTTAAAAAATTAATTTGTGATACTCTAAAAAAAGTAAAAGCTCCTTAGTGTATTTTTTTTCTAAATCTGACAACATGGCAGATGTGATGTAACACTCAAAAAAAATTAAAAACTCATTAGTGTATTTTTCCTAAATGCGACATTCCAACGTAACGGATATGATGTGACATTAAAAAAAAATTAATATATTTTTTTTAAATGTGACACTCCATTGTAGCGGACAAATGAATCATTATACATCAAACAAGACTAAATAAATCATACAAAAAAATATATAAAATTATATAAATCACAAATTTAAAGTATGAAACTTACTAATCAATCTCTCTTAAATAAATATATTTATCATTTATGTCGTTATAATAGAGGGCCTGAACGCGGCAAAATTTTAGTGGTTCTATTTATAATTTAGGTCGTTATGATAAAGAGTCTGAACGAAGCAAATTTGGAGTGGTTGGCCAAGTGTATCCGTGTCCACACACATGTTGATGGCTATCGTGGACTCAAACAAAACAGGTCACCACCATTACTGGGTGGTGGTGGTGGTGGTGGGGGAGCAATTCACTGCTGCCAGTGTAGCTTTACCTACCTTAGGAGCTGGCGATTTAATATATTCTCATAACTTCTCGCCACGTGTCAGAATCTTAATGGGGAAAATGGTTGATGAGTGGTCAGTTTGAAGTGCCGTGGGACTTTTGGTCAAGCAAGGGGAACCATTCGATTTCGAGGTGGTCTGCCGAATCAAGTGGCCCTGCTGGATTGGTTGGTTTAGAGTAATAAACTATGCTTCATTTGACTGACAGATATAGGCTTGATTTGAAACCACTATTTAGGAGAAATCATATTTGTTCCACAGTGAAAAAATAATTCAATTTTTATGATATTTTTCTTCTTCTTCTTCTTCTATTTTTGTTTTCCCCCTTGCATCAGACTTGTACAAAAAAAACTCATCTGTATTATAATTGTTTTCAACTTGTCTCACTCGGGTAATGCTAATGGTATGTACTATATATATATATATATATATAAATGTCTTAATTTAATCTTATGAGAATTGTAATTAAAAAATAAATTATAATCAAACACCACATAATGTATAACTAAATTGATGTTATAATCAACATCACAATCACTTATAACTAAAACAATAATTGATTATAACCAAATACTGTAAAATTCATAATTGGAAATACATATAACACAAAAAATTTCCCATATAATAAGGTTCAACTTTCATTTTACTATTTTTGGGGATAAAATTGCCATATCAAATGGAGTGTTATTTATCACTTTGACGTACTTTTCCAATTTTTATATGAATCCTCAAGTGATACGCTAAATTTTACTATTATTTCTATATAATTATTTTATACAGATATATAGGGTTTATTATTTAAATTTACGTAAAAAGTAAAAATAAATAAAATGAATACTAAATTTTGAATATTGTTTGATGTGTTATCAATGTATTGGTTTAGTGCACATCACTTTTAATGTTTTATGTCAATATTAGTGACATATCGGAGACTATTTAAATTTTTAGTTTTATAAATTTGGTTGTTGTAATATTATTGTATTATTTTTTTTGTATGACATATTAAATGTAATTAACTTGTAGTGAGGACAAAAAGTGAGTGGTTTAAAAATAGTTTAGACACTTCTCATGCCAAGTTGTGCTTATTTTTTTTTTCACATTTGGTAGGTATGGAAGGTATTAAAGACCTTGAAGAAGCTCATTTCAAAATCAATTCTAGGCTTGCTTGTTTTGACCAATAAGAAAAGTTGAGGATTTATTTTATTGAAGTTTCTTAGAGCATCACATTAGCCTTACCAAAATAGCAAAGAGGTAAAATATAGCTAGCAAATCATAATCTGTTTATTTCATCAGTCTCAATAAATTATTTCTAAATTAACTTTTGGTTGAATTTAGTACAGTATCTCAACAAATTTGTTAAGGTACTATTCATTAGTTAATATTTTATTATTTTTTTTAAGACAGGTTAATATATTTTTTATTATATTTTCTCACCCACCGGACGTCCTCCCGGATGTCCACTCGGATGTCCCTGCAAAGAAGAAAGTTTTGCTGAATTTTGGCCTATCCGGTTGACTGCCCCTCAGTGGATTTGCCTCCTTCAGCTGCTGCTTTCTACTGCTGCTATGGTGCATTGGAAAAAATATATTTAATAAATTGAAAAAGATAAAAGAACAAAAAATAATATTTTAATGAAATAGAATTTTATAATAGAGAGTTTGATGGAGTGTGTATATAAAAAAGAGGTTTGCTAAAATACAAAAGTGGATTTTGAGTTATAATTTGGCTCAAAATTTGCTGAGGTTGATGCTGCTGCTCTTACATGTTACTCTGAATTTGCTCAATTGTTCTTTAACTTATTTTGTTTTAGAGCACTTTCATCCGATACATCCCAAATAAATTACCAAATTTTCTAACAAATCTCTTACATGGATCCCACACTCATGTAAGAGGTTTGGTAGAAAATTTAGTAATTTATTTAAAATCTTTAGCATAACTCAGTGAGTAAATTAATACACGAGAGATTTCATACCCACTTATCTTTCTATCACAATTAGAGTTTATAATATCAAATGAAGAAATATTATTTCTCAGTTGTTGTTTATTACCTTTTGGTGTCAAAATTTTTCATTCTTACCCTTAATTAATTTTTACTCTTATAACATTAATAGGCTAAAAAATAAAGAATTGATTCCACTAATTTAAGTTAATAATCTAAACTATAATATTATACACTAGCTATACATATAAAGGGCCAATTTCAAAAGTTTGCCTCGGGTCCCAATAATTGAGTGTTAGCTCGGAAAAGAAAAATGCTTCGCACCCCTAGCTTTTCCGACCCCTAGTGACCCCCAGCTGATGTGACACGTCATGCGATAGTCACGTGACTATCTAAACAGCTTATAGCTTATAACTATGAATATAAGTTGATTTCTGACTTATAAATTAAGCATCTCCTGCCCCACTCAAAGAATAAGTTGATTTCTGACTTCCAAAAAACTATAAGCAATAAGCTATAAGCTAAACCAAACACATCAAAATAGCTTAAATTAAGCTGAAAGCTGAAATAAGCAGCTTTTAAGCTGCACCAAACAGGCACTATAATAATAATTGTGCTACAAAAGCAATAGATTCATCTTTAGAGATATACTTTGTTGTAGAGTGAAGGGTGCACATCATGTTAACCAAAAGCATTCATTAAGATGTAATTAATGACATATTTTAAATTAATATTTAGTGAGCGAAGATCTTCTTTTAATGATAATTTTTAAATGAGTAAGGAAGATACTATACATCCCAAATAAATTATCAAATTTTTTAACAAATCTCTTACATGAATCCCACACTCATGTAAGAGGTTTGGTAGAAAATTTGATAATTTATTTAAAATCTTTAGCATAACTCAGTGAGTAAATTAATACACGAGAGATTTCATACCCACTTATCTTCCTATCACAATTAGAGTTTATAATATCAAATGGAGAAATATTATTTCTCAGTTGTTATTTATTACCTTTTGGTGTCAAAATTTTTCATTCTTACCCTTAATTAATTTTTACTCTTATAACATTGATAGGCTAAAAAATAAGGAATTGATTCCACTAATTTAAGTTAATAATCTAAACTAAAATAATATACACTAGTTTATATAAGATAGGCTAAAAAATAAGGAATTGATTCCACTAATTTAAGTTACTAATCTAAACTAAAATAATATACACTAGTTATATATATAAAGGGCCAATTTCAAAAGTTTGCCTCGGGTCCCAATAATTGAGTGTTAGTTCGGAAAAAAAAAATGCTTTACACCCCAGTTTTTCCGACCCCGAGTGACTCCCAGCTGATGTGACACGTCATGCGATAGTCACGTGACTATAAGACGCAAACACATTTCAAAATACATCTCCTCCCTCAAACACATATCCGTCTTCACCCCAACGGTAACAGCTGCAGCTACAGCTATTGACCCCCACTCCGACGCCGGCGACAAGTCGTTCCCTTCACTCCGACGCCGACAGCTCGTTCCCTTCACTCGCGAATCTCTCTGTCTCTTTCCCTCTCATCCGACGAAGGATGATTAAGAAGTAAATTTCCCGACTCTCTCTGTGTCTCTTTCCTTCTCATCCCTCTCATCCAACAGGTATATCTGCGTATATATATATATATCTATCTGTATATATCTCTCTATATATATCTGCGTATATATATATAAAAATTGATACACATATCTGCATATCTGCGTAAACCTGATAAAGGAATTGAATGTTTGGATTTAGCAGTTTTTACAATCTGATAAAGGAATTGAAAAATTAAAGTTTGGCCTTTTGATTTGGGACTTGAATTTGGCCTTTTCATTTGGGAATTGTGGCCTTTTCATTTGGAGTCTTACCTTGCCATTCCTCAACGAAATGTTGAAATTATGAAGACCTGCAAAAAGCTTCTTATCCAAATTTTGTGGCTGAAGCAAGTGAAACTCTACTATCCTTGATTTCATAAATCTGTTTGATTTCATATGAAGGTAGTCCAATTCATAGTAAATGTTAAACGTGTTAACAAAATTAGCCACGTGCACCTAATGTTTGATTAATAGGTTGCTGAGAAGTTGGACCTGTCTATGAACTTCTTTGAGCAATCAATTTGTTTGGATTGCACCCCACTACTGAGATAGTTTTGAATCATATTTAATGTTCTTCACATTCCCTATTTTCAAGCTATTTTTTTGAAAATAGCTTGTTGAAGACAGTTCTGAATAAACAAGTTATTTTTACATAGTGTCAATCTAAACAAGCTATTTCTCCATAGTGCCAATCTAAACAAGCTATTTTCAAAGAAGCTATTTTTACATAGCAAGCAATCAAGGAGAGTTGAAGACAGATGTATGTTTGCTTGACTGGAATGTAATCAAGCAATCAAGAAGCTATTTTCAAAGAAGCTATTTTTACATAGCAAGCAATCAAGCAATCAAGAAGCTATTTTTACATAGCAAGGTATTTTTACGACTCTTAGATAATGTTTGCTTGACTGGAATGTAATGTTCATTCTATTAGAACATTCATTCTCACATTTGGTTCACTAAAAGAACTGGTGAAAATTAAGCATTCCATTCCATTTCACTTCCATTCCAGTGAACCAAACATAACATATATCTCCATCTAGCAACTCTGTTCCTGTATATGTTTTTCATTGGCATTTGTTGTCCAACATTCTGAAAATTTAATAGGTATCATGATCACTTTTTACAGAGGAGAGGGATTTAGAACAAGGGGGCAGAGGAGATTGGAACATTTTTACTCTCCAATGTCACCCTTCACTCTTTTTTTTTTTCTTTTTTTTTGCATATTTGGCTGGAAATTTGAGCAATTATTTCAAATGACTACAAAAACTGATTCATTCACAGAATTATGATAGAAAGAGTGAAATGATGTGTGGGCATGGCTTTTCAGATATATACACTTTCTTATGGACTGTCATTAAGATTACAAGTTTGACCTATGACAAAGTATCAGCATAAAATAACCATCCATAGGATATATCCTAATTTCCATACTTTCATTGGTGCCTTAGTAATCTTCTGCTTTCAAAACCCAGTGCAATTGACATTTTATCTTAGAAGAATTCTCAGATTATGCGGGAGAAACTTATCTTTCAAGAACAATTGATGAAATCAGAACGCATCAGCTTTACTAGCCATGAAAGATAATACGACTTGGTATCATTTCACAATAAAGGAAACCATCTAAAATACACTCTTGTTTCATTTCTGTGAGCAAATTCCATGGCATGCACTATGCACCTATATCCACAAGATTTACTCAAAATTCTCCATATGCCTTACTTCAAATATGAAATATACTAATAAAGAACCTAAATCATTTTTCTTAACTTTAAACATGAAATATACTGTTTTCAATTTCGAAAGATGTGAAAACTGGCATCATAGCGTAATGAACCTAAATCATTTTTCTTAACTTTAATAATAGGTTCAAATTTATTTGATATCAACCCTAGCTTCAATAGTAGGAATGCATAACTTGCTATTTGTCTTAACCTTCATAACTTGCTATTTGTCTCTTTTTGCAGATGTCAAGTTCAAGTGTCAGTGGCAGTAACTCAGATCGGTTGACATACGTCAACAGAAATTGTCGTACATGTAATAAAAAGGCCATGATTCAAATTTCTGAGACCGATCGAAACAAAAACAAGTTATTCTACTTTTGTAATGATTGTGGTTTTTATCAGATGGTGTTTACCTACGAATCCAGAATATAGAGGTCATCAAATTCCAAGAGACGAAGTGCCAACTGTCGGCGAACAAGTTATGACCGAACAACTTCGAGCTATGACCGAACAACAAATAGAGATGACAGAACAACTTTGAATTCAAAACGCAAAGATGCAAAAGTTGATATATATATTGTCCGTGTTACTTGTAATTGGTGCCTTTAAACTTATGAAGATGTAATAACATATATATACATATATGTAAGTTAGAAGTAGAAGTAGATGTCAATGTACAAGTTCAAGTAGACTGAATACTTTTGTGATGTTTTCGAGGAAGTTATGTTTTGTTGTGTATTGAAACCTAATTATTGTACCTCTTTTGTGGTGAGCGGAATGGAAAATGACTTGTTCAAACTTGTACACTTTCTTCAATACTCATTGAATCGACATTGTTGAATACAGGAAACTGTTGAATACAAGGTAGCTATTGTTGAATACATGTAAACTATTGAATAGACATGGTTGAATACAGCGAAATTATTTAATATACATTGTTGAATACGGGGAAACCATTGAATATACATTGTGAAATATAGGGAAACTATTGAATATACATTGTTCATTACAGGGAAACTATTGAATACACATGGTTGAATACCTTAAAACTGTTCAATAAACATTGTTCAATACAAAGAACTGCTAAATAAACATTGTTTATTACTAAATATTGCAACATCTTCATTACATAACAAATAATAATAATAACATAACTTCATTAATAATTAGTACACCACATGTTTTACAAATCCATATGCTGAATCTCAATAACAAAGTTGTAACATAAGCTACAATCTCAAAAACAAAGTTTGAAACTCAGATTAATAGACTACATAATTTCCAATCTAAAAAATTAACAGTTGGAATACATAGAAACTAGTCAAACAAGTCTGTAATATCCAAGCTTCCTGGTGTGCATGCATGAGAAGCTGATGGGGTTAGAGATGCAGAACCATAAATTTGAGTTGCAGCACTCATCGAACTTCCCTGTGTGCCACTTATGAAGTCCGATAGAGTAAGAGACGTGCCTCCAATACCATGGGTCACCTGTGACAATTCATTGCAAAAAGTACATGTTAGAAGAAAACACTTTGTAAAAGTACATGAAGTCCTCTTTCGAATACACTTTGTAAAAGTACAAGAAGGCCTCTTTCGAACACGTACCGGTACATACATACTATTTTGTGTGCCAACCATATAAGGATAATACGGTGTATATGCAGTAGCGTTAGCTTTAGCTTTAGCTTGAGCTTGAGCTTGAGCTTCAAATCGAAGCAACTTGGTAGCCTGTATGTTTTGAAGAATAATTAAAGATTGAAATTTATGAATTGCTTTTACATACTTGAATAGAATTTGTAAAAACAAAATTTGAATACACATTTTACCTTTGCTATTGTTTGTTTTTTTGCCGTTGCCTTGAACCGATTAACAATTTGATCTACTTTGGCAACCTTTCGTTTCGTAACTGGACGACCTCTTCGCCGAGCAACCAAAGGACTAATCACCTTCCTACTAGTACCTCCTTGTGTAGAACCGGTGTGAATCGGACTTTTGTGGAACATGGTAAATTACTCCTATCACCGGATTCTTCTTTCATGACTCTCTCCTTGATTTCATCCAGCCCAAGGTCTATAATTCTAGTTTTGCCTTCAGAGTTACCAGCAAGTTGTACAATGACAATCAATTTTTTGTTCATCCTCTCATAGGTACTTACATTGAAATCATTTCCAAAGCCGGTGTATGTGGTTTTGATGCATGCGTATTCTCTATCTACATCTTTTCTCCATCGGGGCAAAATATATTTACTTGGCACCTCATTTATGCATCTTCTGACAAGCACAGCGAGTGAGTGAGCACACATAATGTCTCTAAACTCAAAAAACCGACACATGCATTGAACTTCACATTCAGTTGAATTAAAATAGACAACAAAGTCCACATGCTTCATCTTCTCACAAACTACCATCGCTTCTTGGACATTATATGTAGAAATTGATCCCTCCTCTTTCACAATCACCGCCTGATAGTAAACTAATCTCTTCAAATCTCCTTGAACTTCTTTGAATTTCGCATTGGTGTAGGCTTGCTGAAATTGCTTCTCAAAACCATATATAGTTAGACAACCAAACAATTTGTGTCGAGACTTGAAGTCTGCTTTCTTCTCTTTCTCTACCTTATTTCTCAAGGCAATGTCATATTGTTCAACGAATTGCTTCAATGTAGTTTTTGGATTTACATATCCATCAAAAAACGCATTCATACTTTCACTTCGTTGTGTAGTTGACATGCCAGCCCAAAAAATGTTTTTAACATAAACAGGTACCCATCGATGCCGCTCATCTTATAGTACCCCCAACAACTCATTATCATAAAGATTGAATGTTGCAAGCATCTCTTCTCATTTACTCTCAAATTCAGCTCTTGTCAAACAGTCATAAACTGCATTTTGCATAGCCAACTTTATGGCTTCATACTGAGCATATCCTTTCAGCTTCTCCAGAATTTTCTTCATGATATGCCATAAGCACCACCGATGTCGAGCTTGTGGAAACACAATTTCTATAGCATTTTGCATAGCTCTACACTGATCAGTTATGATAGCTTTTGGCGGATGATTCGACATACAACCTAACCATGACTTGAATAGCCAAACAAATGTGTTAGTATCTTCACTAGACAACAATCCACAACCAAGAAAAATGGACTGTCCATGGTGATTAACTCCGACAAATGGAGCAAATGGCATGTCATATTTGTTCATCAAATAAGTTGTGTCAAATGAAACAACATCTCCAAATGCTTCATAAGTCGCCCGACTCCTTGCATCAGCCCAAAACAAGTTTCTAATGCGAAACTCCTCATCAACATCAATCACATAAAAGAATCTCTCACTATGTGCTTGCATCCTCATAAAATAACTTTGAAGTGATTCGGCATCACCTTCCCTAAGCCTCAACCTTCTAGCTCTCTCAATGTAATTTCTTGCATCTCCCTCGTCAAATGTCAATGACTCGTATCCCCCCGCTTCAACAACCATTGAATGAAAGTTCCGAGACACCCTAATCCCTGCTTGATCATTAATTTCTAATCTTCTCTTCACAGGAGTAAGAATTTTCTTATTCATTGCAAAATGACGTGAGTTGGTGGGAATCAAATCATGATTATGCTCAAGGTTAACTGTGGTTAGTTTATATCTCCAATCCTTTTGTACACTACCTCATACCCTTGGTGTGCAACCAATTTTTGTGGACAAACATGGCTTCAGACGATTGACTTCTGATTTCTTTTTTCTTTGCCCCGCTCAAGAACATTCAATTGCAAAGTTTAGCAATTGCCCATCATCTCCAAAATGTTGTGCTCTATGAGCTATGGAAAATCCAACATGCTTAGCATATATGCCATAAAATGTGTACACCTTTTCCATTGAGCTAAAACACATACCCTTTTTAGGTTCTTCAACGTCTTCGCCCTCATTTATTAAAGGATTCTCACCAACATTTGAATCAACCTCCATTCTTCCACTTTGCGTACTGAAATAACAAGTAAACAAATATCAGTTCCCTAACAACGCCCAAACAAAAATACTGTTTACAGATTATGGAACTAAACTTCATATTTCAGATTTTATATAAACTCCATTCAAAATGATCACTGTGAACCAAATTTCATATTTCACATTACTTATATATATATATATGGAACTAAACTTCACAAAATGACAAATTACTCATCCTTTCAGATTACAGATTATAAATTACAAAATGATAGATTACAGATTATATAACACTGCCCAAATAGCTACAAATAACTCATATTTTAGATTACAGATTATATAACACTGCCCAAATTCGATATTTCATATTATATAACAATTACTCATATATCAGATTACTCATATATATTTCAGATTTCATAGGTCCAAAATGACAAATTTCAGATTAGGGAAGTTCCATATATATACTCATTTACTTATTTTAAACTGAAAGAGAACTCCATATATGAGAATTAGCATATATACAAACTCCAGAGTTCAGATTTCAGATTAGTCATTTCACTATTCAGATTTCAGATTTCAGAATTAGCATAAAACTAAAAGAGAACTCATTTACTCATTTCACTATTTAGATTTCAAAATTAGCATATAACTGAAAGAGAACTCAAGCTGGATTAGTCATATGAAATTGATTTTTTATCTCATAAACCACCGATCCAGATTACATGTGAGACAAAGACACAGCGGAAGAGGGAGACAGACAGAGGACAACCAGATTAATGGATAGAGGACAACTAGATTGATGAGAGCGACGAAGATTGAGGATAGATGAGAGTGAGCTATGGAGATATTACCATTCAAAAGTATATTGGAGGCACGGTAATCTGATATTGCTCAAAACTTTTGCCGTCGTCGAAATTCCCGGCGAGCTATGGCCATTGTCCAGAATACACTTTTGTAGAAATTCCTGGCGAGCTATGGCCGTCGTCGATGGCAGAGAGCTACGGTGGAGGAGGAGGAGGATGGCGGCGAGAGGTGAGGATAGACAAGGAAAGATGGTGGAGACAGGTTTGGTTCCCGCTTTTTCCTGATTTTGTTTTGTTTTGTTTTGTTTTTTTTTTTTTTCCAGCTGTGTTTACACATCAGCTGCCAGCTCATTCACCATGTCACTGGGGGTCACTAGGGGTCTATAGCGGGGTTGTAAATAATTCCTACAAAATGAGTATTGTGGGGACATATTACCAACACATGGCCAAGGTGACGCCGAAGTGTCAGCCGAGGTGCCACGTGTCTTGGTCATGACACCGAGGTGATCTCGGCTAGGCCGAGGTTATCTCTGAAGATATCGGAGTCTGGGATAAGCGGATAAGGGACAAGAGTCCTAAAATGAGAGAAGACTTCAGTTTGGGTAAAGATAAGACTCTTAGAGAGTTTATCCCAATCCTATTGGGAGTCCAAGATTAGCAATAATCCTAAGTCCACTAGAGCTAGGCTTCTATTGGGACTAGGCTTGTATTGGCTATAAAAGGGAGGCGCCCCCATGGGTCTAAAGTACGCAATTTATATTCTGAATAGTGAGTTAAGAACTTTTGCTATCTTTGAGAGATAACTGAGTTGATCATCGGAGTGCTCCCAGGTGGACGAACCACCGCCGGAATCTCTTCTTTCTGTTGCAGGTCATTTGGGACTAATTTATTCTGCTAATGCTCTCCAGCTAAGTACTAATTTGACATTGTGGTCAAAAATTGACACACACAATTTGGCGCCGTCTGTGGGAAAGAAAGGAGAATAGATGGCCAACAATGGACAGAAAGAGAGGATTGAGGATGACACTCCTAATGGGAGTGGGAAACTTGTTGACCTTAACGTAGAAGAAGACAACTGCAACGAAGAGACTCGTGATCAGAATCACGGAGGAACGGACGTCGGCCAGGAAGGCGACGTACCAAAGAAAACGGACCAAAACAGGTATTACAACGAGGACGACCTTCAGGTATGGAAGGATAGATGCCTACGGATGGACGATGAGGTAAAGGAAATGGCAAACAAATTGGCTGACCTACAAACGGTCGTTAATTTCATGATGCAGAACAACGTCATGCAGCCATCGCTCCCGTTACAAGATACACTGATTCCAGCGGCCAAGAAAGATGCCTGACAAGATGGGCAGAAAATAGTCCCTATAGTCCCCTAGCACACCAGGAGCGAAAAACACTCTCACCGGCCTTCAAGGGAGGTTTGGCGAGGAGAGTCGAGAAGAGAAGAATCTCGAAGGACACATTGCACTAAGGAAGCAGACTCCAAAGAACATCGGCATGTTTAAAGGTAGGAGTTGTGCTTCGACGCAACTAATGGCGAAAGGTCGAAGAGGGCTCACAACGAAGCTGAGAGTAGTGCACCTAAAAGACTGAAGTCAGGAGATAGCCGAGCTCCTGGTCGGACCAAGGAGGACCTAAGGGATTACCTACAGAGGAGGCGACAAGATGCCGAGGTAACCTCCCCGGTCAAGCCGAGAACTCCATTCTCGGTAGAATTGGACAAATTCGAAGCCCCGAAGAGGTTTAGCATGTTGAGATTCCAGATCTACGACGGGAAGTCGGATCTCAACTTTCACGTCGGTTTGTACTTGAACTCGATGGCGTTATACACCAGGAACGATCCGTTGCTTTGCAAGGTGTTCCCCTCATCCTTCGGAGAAATTTCATCAAACTGGTTTCACAAGTTGCCGAAAGGAACTGTGAAAACCTGGAAAGGCCTAGCCGAGATGTTTGTGGCCAGGTTCGTGACGAACAAACTACAACCATTAACGGTGGATGCCCTGATGGCTCTGAAAATTGACAAGGACGAAAGCTTGAAGGCCTATGCCAAAAGATACTATGAGATATTTAACCGACTACCAGAATGCAACCAAGAGGTGGCGGTCATATCATTTAAGAACGGCCTAAAAGATAATTGTCTGCTTCGAAAATCATTGGCAAAAACACTGCCAAAAAGTATAGAGGAATTAATGGCCAGAATAGAGAAGTACGCCAGGGCCGAGGAAGATACGTCGGGAACAAAGGCACCGAAACCAAAGAAGAAAAATGGCTCGCCGAAGCGAGGCCGAGGTGATGGTGGCTACAACAAACCAGAAATCGGATTAAGGGCTGCTCAGGCAGTCACAACCATATTTCGAATTTCGATTTTCAAAGTCTTGGAGAAAATCCAAACCCAGCCCTATTTCAGAGCACCAGCAAGGGTACTAGAAGAGTTTATGGAAAGAAGCCTTGGTAAGCATTGTGCTTACCACAATGAAGATGGACATCTGACTCAGGGTTGCAGAGCCCTGAAAGCACACCTAGAAGATCTGGTAAGGCAAGGCCATTTAAGGGACCTTGTAGATGAAGCCAGGACAAGGAAAGAGCAGGCAAGACTGACTCAAGCACCAGTAGCTCCACCTCTCCCAGCACAGCAACCGCAGGCAGGCAGACCTCGGGTAATTAATGTAATTCACTCGAAGGTCAACGGAAACGAAATACGGGGGGAGACCCAGAAGGTAAAGCACTTACAGCATGTGTACCAGATCCGAGAGAAGACCTTGGGTCGAGGAGTGCTAGGGACCAGTAGTGTCCTTTACTGAAGCCGACCTTGAGATAGTGCAGCATCCACACAACGATGCCTTGGTAGTATCCCTCCAGGTTGGGGAGTGCCAAGTGAAGCGCATCTTAATTGACCAAGGCAGCTCTTGTGACATCATGTATGTCAAGTGTTACAAGGGGCTTGGCCTT